GTACATACACACGCATGTACATGTACATGTACATGTACATGTATACATATTTTTCAGAGAAAATTTATAAGGTTAGATATATTCATTATCAGGACATATTAAACTGTCAACAACATAAGGTGATGCATGAACCTTTCTTTTATCCTCAATGTTAACTATCTTTTTATTTAGAAAAATAGTTGTTTTTTCTATTACTGTAACTCATATTCATGAGTATTTTTTGATTGTAAAATCAATGATTTTTCTCATTTCAGGCTCCTCAAACATAGCAGTACCAACCTCCCCAAACCTAGCTCCCAGCCTCTCCAGTGTCCCTGATATACATAATGTTTCTTCATCTCCATCCCCTGTCTCTCCTTCGTCCTCCAGTATCTCTTCCCCAGTCCGCCCTCTCTCACCACTCCTTCCACCCCTCTCTCCTCCCCCTCCTCCTCAGACTGCAAAACTAAGTGCAGATGATGGAGGCCTTGTATCACCTCCATTGTGTACAGTAGCATCATCACCACAAGCTTTCAGCTTTCTAACAAGCCCTTCTTCTCAAGCAGCAGTAACAGCTTCTTCACCATCCTCCTCCAACTCCTCTGTTTCACCACCTCCATTACCCTCATCATCCCCCCCACCATTATTCTCGTCATCTCCACTCAGCCCTACTTTGGGCTCCATGTGTATTTCGACAAACTCTTCCCCTGTGGTCAGTTTAGCTTCAAGTTTGTCCTCTACATTAACCCCATCTGCTTCAGTAAAGAATAATTATTGTTCCTCTATACCTGGTGTGCCACCTCCCTTACCTCTCACTGATCCTCCTGTTCTCCTGGCCCCTATGGATGGCGAGGAACTGGAACCCCCCCATTCCCCCCTTGATGTATCAACGCCTCTCACTATGGATGGGATGACTGCCTTGCATCTTGCGGCACATGGAAACAACTGGCAGTAAGTTTTTTAGTTTTAGTTCCTTGAACCTTTTAGAAATTAGAACACATATGGTTTTACTGTTCACCAAAGGGAAACATGATTTTGTTATACTCTGTAACCAAAGATAATTGAAACCTATTAGTACTAAATTCACTCTACTCTAGGCAAAGATACAACTATTTAAATTATCCAATTGTTTTTCACAGCTTCATTTTTAACCCAGAAATTAGACTTTCTCACCTTTTGCTCTTGCTGTGCTAACTCTTTTTCTATCCCTCACTCTCCCCTGTGCTTCTTCCCAGGGGGCCCAAGCATAGACCAGATGCGAGGGCCATAATGTCAAGTGAGTGAGGGCATTCTTTTTCTTGTGCTGACAAAGGGTATTTGCTTATGTACATTTGTGACATACAGTGTAGAATTATTAATTTTTGGTTATTGAGAGGGAAAAGCATAGTGGTAGGTATGATTAGATAAAATTCTTGTTTATATAATCTGGAGGTCACCTTTGTATGTTTCTTGCATAATTTTGAACGTGAAATAATTTAAAGCACTTAGTCATATGTATGAGTAATGTTTAATTATTACTTATATTTAGATAAATGGTGGAAGAGTTGCTAAGTAGTACAGAGAGACAAATATGATAGTGGACAGATAAGATAGTGGTTATATGAAAAAAGTGTCTTGAGAAAAATAGAGTGGAAGTAGCATGAGCACAAATTAGTGTATGTAGTAATATGTAGTTGTTATATTTTCAAAGTAATGAAAGTGCAGGTTTGAACAAGAGGGATAGCTTTAATATTGAGTGTATGTAGTTTGACAGGTTGATAATTGTGCTATGATGAGGGGCTTTTACAGTTTACCTTTTTTTGTGGTTGGTATTGCAGTCACATAGGTTCATGTAACTCCTATTTTCCCATTACTTTAAAGTGCTAAGGCTTATTCATGTTGATGTACAGTAAAACCCTGCTGAAATCCAGATATATGTATTATTAAATAACGCATAAGATAAATATGAAGGTGTAGAATGTCATGAAAAATAAAAAAAATTATTATGCATTTATTAGATTCCACAGAAGATATGAATATTTATATGTGAGTGGTACAGGTTTCCCTCTGCGAATCCATATATCTACAAGTAAACTTTTTATGCTCCTTTCATCAGATTCATAACTTAGGTTGGGTAGCTGGCCCATAATGCAGTCAGCAAAAAGTTGATTACACCCAAAAAAGAATTGCTGATGAGGATCAAGCTCATTCATGAATGAGCTTGATCAAAGCATTGAGAATCTTTTTAAATGACATCTGAAATTTTTATCTCAATGCCCCAAATTCTGGACTAGTCTAACCCATGGTTATTGGATAATGTGTTATTGGATTGTCAGATATATATATTCATAAGTTTGGAAATACCCAAATGGATGTGGGGTGAACTCCTGGGGAAAAAATTCACCTTTTTTGACCAGTGAAATAGGAATGATTTCATACAACCAGAAAAACTTTTTTTTTGGGGGGGGAAATGGTGAATGCAGGATCAAAGTAAGAGAAGAAATGGAACAGATGTATAAAAACCACTCTTTATGAACTGAATGAGACCTGTTCCATTGTCATCATTCACTTTTTTTCTTTATTTCTTACCTTTTTTCTTTTTTCTTTCTTTTTTTTTCCTTTCTCTGAAAAAAAAGATAGGTTAGTAAGGAAATTTTTGCATGTATGCAACTGAACAACATTTATAGCAACACTTGGTTAAGTATTTCTTTCAGATAGCACATTTGACCCCATTCTTGTCAGCTATTCTCAATGTAGAATTCTTTCATGCAACTTTCAGTTTCTTTTTACTGGACTATGACATGTTATTCAAAAATTGTACTAAACTTGTCTAAAAGTTTTGACAGTATTATTTTTAAATATAACCTACCTTGATAATGTGCACAGTTTTCCTGTACTGGTCATATCCATAGTATTTTCCTCATTGTTGCAGCTGTTAGTATTTCTTGTAACTGGCTGACTAGACTTGCTATCCCTTGCTAAAATTAGATGTTTTTCTTGTTTAAGGAAGACACATCATTTTGTCATTTCTGAAAGGAGGTGATTGAGACTATTATTGGCTTTGGTAAAAAAAAAAAAAAAAAAAAAAAAAAAGATAAAATTGCTTCATATGATGTTTGTCCATGCTTTTCATATTTTGTTTCGTGCTCTGTACAACAATATAATGAGTAATGTCACGTGTATTATATTATGCGTATTAAGATGTTAGATTTGGGTGCCTCATGGCTGGGAGGTGAACCCAAATCTAGGCATTAGGCATCCTTTGTTTGTGTGGCAACTCTCCAAGGTGTGTGGCTTGCAGGCTCAGTCCACATGAATACTCACATGCAGTATCAAGACTCCTTGCCTACACTCTGCATTGTTATTAGCTCTTTTTCTGAAGGGACATTTTTTGCTGCTTTGCCATTTTCCAAGGTTCATATTTGTCATTTGATTTGCTGTATCAAGATGATGATAGCCCTGTTTTCATTGAAGATACCCCATATTATAACTCCAGGTAGTTTACAAATATGTGCAATAACTAACACTTCTTCCATCATTTTATCTTGAAGTTAGTGAGTGCCAAGGATACTTAACCCACTCATGCTGGATGATATCAGGAGCAAGTATCCATGCTTACTCTAAGTTGTGTGATGTTTACTTGCCTAGACTGTGGTAATTGAGGGGTTAAGCTGGTACAAGGAATTTCCATTGTAAATTAATTTAAAAAAACTAACCCCACATGGTCTACCCTTCCAGCAGGATCATTACCATTATTATTTTGGTTATATTTCATGCCTTTGTAATTTTTCATACTCTTGTATCAGTGTCGGTGTATATTTACTGATCTCTGTTGAAGGGATATGAGGACTGAGACTGCCTCTCATTTTTGTTTGATAATTATATGAACTGATTTTGACACTTTTTGGATAAACTTTGACATTTAGGAGCATTTTCATAGCAATAATTTGGGTATACCTGTACAAGAAATCTGATTTTGTGCCAAATTGATTGTATTTCTTTTGAGATGTTGTCAGTTGTTTTTCAGTGATGTGCATAAACCTGATATTAATTGATTGTATAGTGCTGGGTTTTACTGTTGTATCACATGATACTAATATCTGTTGTTCTGGAAAGAAAATTAGAAATAGTTTGTGTGGGCCCTTTTTGATGTTACACTGTTATAAAAGTAAAATGTAGTACCCTTAGTAATGGTGTGCGGTGTGCCAGGTCAGTGCCGGTGCTTGTGAGATGCGGTGCCAGTGTGAGTGCCGAAGATGATGATGGTCGCACGCCCACCTACCTGGCTCTGCTGTATGCCTGCACCCCAGCTGCAGCTGAACTGCTTAGCTTTCCCCAGTCTTTAGAGCACACAACAAAGGTATGGAACCCTCATTTAGATGAATTTTTAACCAATTCTTTTATTATTATTATTATTATTTATTTATTTATTTATTTTTTTTTTTTTTTTTATTTTTTTTTTTTTTAGATCTTATTTTTGTTTTCAATAATATCAAAATATTAACCATCAAAAATATGTTTTGGTAGAAACCAGAATAACAAAACAAAATATCCATTCCTTGTATTGCACATAAGAACTTCTTTGTCAGTTTACTAACTGCTCAAGAGGGACTTCTTTTTTCTAGTTTTATTGAATTGGAATTAGTTGGGATTTGTTTTTAAACATTTTTTTTCTTTTCTTTAAGGGACATGTTAAAAAAAAAGCAGGTTAGAACAAGGGAAGCTTAAAATATAGCACCATTATGTATCCTGTAGTCTCCCCATTTAGTACTTCTTATAGGCTAGGTATTATTTCCTACTATGAAT